TCCCACAATACAGTGCTGCCAGTGATAGCAAAATATCTATACACTTTCAAGGGAGACCAGTTAATATAATTATTATTCAAATATACACACCAACCACTAATGCCAAAGATGAAGAAATTGAGTATTTTTCAACCTCTGCAGTCTGAAATTGATCAAACATGCAATCAAGATGCATTAATAATTACTGGTGATTGGAGTACAAAAGTAGGAAACAAGAAGGATCAGTAGCTGGAAAGTATGACCTTGGTGATAGAAATGATGCTGGAGATTGCATGACTGAATTTTCCAAGTCCAGCATCTTACTGTAGATAACTTTTTTCTACAGCATATATGACACCTATACCCATGGAACTTGTCAGATGAAAAAGCACAGGCATAGAGGTTAGGATTTACAGCACATATATTTTGGGGGGAGACACAATCCATAACAAATGGGAATACCTGTGATTAAGCTATGGGTTTTGAGAGAGTGAAGTCAGTAAAAAAAAGATTGCTTTAGTCGTTGTTAGTTGTTGGTTGCTATCAGGTTGGCTCCGACTCATAGTGACCCTATGTACAACAGAAGGAAACATTGCTGGTTGTGTGCCATCCTCACAATCCTTGCTATACTTGAGCCCATCGTTGTAACCACTGTGTCAGTTTTACCTTGTTGAGGGTCTTCTCATTTATCCTAATGCTCTACTTTACCAAGCGTAATATCCTTCTTGAGGGAATGGTTCCTTCTGACCACATGACCAAAATAGGTGAGATGAAGTCTGGCCATTCTTCCTTTCAAGGAGCACTCCAGCTACACTTCTTCCAGGACAGATACGTTTGTTCTTCTGGCAGTCCTTGGTATTTTCAGTATTCTTCACTAACACCAGAATTCAAAGGCATCAGCCTTTCTTCTGTCTGTCTTAGTCATTGTCCAGCTTTCAACTCATAGTGATCCCTCCTTGTGTTTCTGAGGTGGTATCTCTACGGAAGTAGATTGTACAGTCATTCTCCTAAGGAGTGGCTGTTGGGTTTAAACCATCAGCCTTCTGGTTAGCAGTCAAATGCCTTAGGCACTAGGCCACCAGAGCTCCCACACATGCATATTAGGCAGTTGAAAATACCATGGCTTGGGCTTGGCACACAATAGTCTTCAGTGACATCTTGGCTTCTTAACTCTTCAATGAGGTTTTTGTTCTACAGCAGATTTGCCCAGTGCAATATGGCATTTAATTTCTTGACTTGCTGCTTCCATAGGTGTTGATTGTAGATCCAAGTAAAAGGAAATCCCTGGCAATCTCAGTGTTTTCTCCATTTGTCATAATGTTGCTTATTGGTCTAGTTGTGAGGGCTTTTGTTTTCTTTATGTTGAGGTGTAATCCATACTTTAGATTGTAAAGTCTTTGATGTTCATCAGTAAGTGCTTCAAGTCTTCTTCATTTTTAGCAAGCAAGGTTGTGTCATCTGCATATCTCAGGTTATTAATGTGTCTTCCTCTAATTCTGATGCCTCATTCTTCATATAGTCCAGCTTCTTGGATTATTGGCTCATTTTATAGATTGAATAAATATGGTGAAAGAATACAACTCTGCCACCCACCCTTCCTGATTTTAAAGCATGCAGTATTCCCTTTTCTGTTCAGTAACAACCTCTTGTTCTATGTATGGGTTCCTCATGAGCACAATTATGTGTTCCGGAATTCCCATTCTTTGCAATGTTATCCATAATTTGTTAAGATCCACATATCAGTGCCTTTGCAGAGTCAGTGAAAGTGAGGTAAACACTTTTCTCGTATTCTTTGCTTGCAAGCAATACCCATCTGACATCAGCAGTGATATCCCTTGTTCCACATCCTCTTCTGAATCCAGCTTGAATTTCTGGCAGTTCCCTGTTAGGATACTGCTGCAACCATTTTTGAATTATCTTCAGCAATATTTTACTTGTATGTGATATTAGTGATACTGTTTGATAATTTCCACATTCTTTTCGATCACCTTTGTTTGGAATGGGTACAACTGTTGATCTCTTCCAGTCAGTTATCCAGGTAGCTGTCTTCTAAATTTCTTGACATAAACGAGTACCTCTACCACTGCATCTGTTTGTTGAAACATCTCAATGGGCATTTGGATTGATAGAATACCCTTGATAAAATTTAATAAAAAGTAGTCATTAAAACAACAATAAAAGCCACTGTTTGGGAGGGAAGTAATGATTTTTTCTTAATTGTGACTGGAAATTTTGTGTCATTTAAGGACAGTATTTGTGCAAGTAATTATTGTTGATATCACTATGCTAAGCTGTACACCTGAAAAATTTTGTATCGACAAATGTATATGTACTTACAAAAACAAAACAAAACAAAAACAAAACAAAACAAAAACCAGCTCTTAAGGCTTCTTATGCACAAATATACAGGGTTTGTTTTCTTGATTTGGCATTTTATGGTCACTATTTTGAAAGACATCCCAATCATTTGGCCTGATATTGTTTCTCAGAACTTCTGCCTCCTTATTTGCTGCACAGTGACTATGGTCTTAAAAGCTAGCAAGAAGCCCTCCAAGGTACAGTAATTTGTCAGCATTCATCTGAAGTAACAGAGGATGGAGAGTCTGGAATTAGAGCATGAACTGAATGTGTGATTGCCTGACTCCATGAAAATCTGCCTCTTGTGCCATGAGACCTGATAAACCCAATGGTGCCTGGCTACCATTACTGAACATTTTGATCAAAGATGCTATACCAGAATCCTGGACATTCTGATCAAAGATTCTACTGTAGAATCAAAAGAGAGAAAAAAATGCAGAACAGAATTTTAAATTTTTGATAGAATACAGACTTCTTAGAGTCATTGAGTCTAGATGAGCCCCCGAAACCATTGCCTTGAGATAAATCTTAAGTCAAGATTATCCCCTGAAGTCTTCTTTGAACCAAATAAACAGCTTATCTTAATTAGTAAAGTATGTCTGCTCTGAGCATTATGCTCCCCCCCCCCAAAAAAAAAATCTATGTGAGATCAGTTTGACAATGGCAACTCAAAAGGATGGTTAGTAATCTTAGGGGGCAGTGAGCTTAAGGTAATGGTGTTGGAATAATTTATAAAAGGATAGGGAGAATGGTAGCACAACTGGAAGATGTAATCGGTGTCACTGAATTGTACATGTAGAAGTTGGTGAAATGGTAAATCTTTGGCTGTTTACTTTCACAAAAATAAAAGAAAGTTCCCATCAAATTTTCATAGGGATTATTGCTTTATTATTTTGTTATCAAATAAGTCTCAGTGAGTATATGTCTTTTTATTTTATGTTTTAGCCAGTATAAACCAATAACATCAAGGGAAATATGTGGGAATAAATGGGAAAGAGTTGTTGTTGTTATGTGCTGTCGAGTTGGACCTGACTGATAGCGCCCCCTCCTTGGGTTTCCGAGGCAGTGTCACTACGGAAGTAGATTGCCCAACCTTCCTTCTCAGGAGTGGCTGGTGAGTTTGAACCACCAGCCTTCTGGTTAGCAGTCAAGTGCCTTAGACACAACACTACCAGACCAGCCACTCCTTGGAAGGAAGGTTGGGCATTCTACTTCTGTAGTGATACCACCTCGGAAACCAAACTTGCTATTAGTTGGGGCCGACTCAACGGCACATAACAACAAATGGAAAAGAAGTAGAGTGTATCTATGATGCTCATTTGAAGTTTTTTTTTTTTTCCTTCTTCTCTTTGGCTATATAAAAACAATTGAGAATTGAGGATCAAAAGTAGAAAAATAACAATGCTGAACTCAGATTTTTTATACCTTTTCTCTAACTTTTCTGTCTTGTCTTTTAAATGTTGTCATTGTTTTCCTTTGAGTTCATTCCAAGTCATAGCGACTCTATATGACAGAATAGAACTGCCCCCATAGGATTTCCTAGGCTATAATCATTTACAAGATCAGATCACCAGATCTTTTCTCCCTTGGAGCTGCTGGTGGGTTCAAACTGCTGACCTTTCAGTTAGGAACTGAGCACTTAACCATTGCATGCACAACCAGGGTTCCTTAGTCTTTTGTAGTAGACTGTTTAATTAGTGGTCAAGTGTCTGTTGCATTCTATCTTGTATTTGCAAACTGTTTTCACTGATTTTTTCCCTTTTCTTTTATATAAACAACACTCTGCCTACATGACTTCTCTTCTGTAACTATAGAATTATCAAATGATTTAAAAATTTTATCTTTGCCTACATATCCCCTTTTTAGTGAGAAATTAATTTTGTTTCATAAAGGAATTCTTAGCCTAATGAAAGGAAAGTGAAAAAATGAACCTCCCATATGCCTTTCTAGATTATGATGTACAGTAAACTAAGATTTAACTAATATTAGGCTTTTGTTGCACTTGTTGATATTTTTAATTTACTTGAGGAAGGAGTCGTAGAGCTCTATCTGATCCTTATGAACCTTTGCAATTTTGGAGTGGTTACCATCTGTTTAATGGCTGTGATAACCTTTGCTTGCCTAATATGAATGTCAGTTTTAGAATTTACCTAAAAAAATGAAAATTGGCCTGTCACCTACAGAGTTAGTTGGTGTAATGGCAGCTGAGCAGTGAGATGGAGGTGGATAGAGAGGGATGGATTTGAACACTTTTGGGTACTAATATAGAATTTGTTTCTGTTTGAGATAATGAAAACATTAGCCTGAAATATATAGTTGAATTACGTTTTCTTTGTTTTTTGTTTATTATTCAAAGTTATAATCTTTTAATCTCTTTATGTGAGGTTTTGCACAGTGATGGAAGAAGAAAAATGATGATTGTACTTAGAAAGGATTTTCATGCTTAGAGCTAATTAATTTGTTATCTGGTAGATCCCTGATGTAATTGATTTAGTATGCAGATTTAAAAGCTTTTGGTTTTTACTTGTTATTAGGCAGCTAGGTATCTGCCAGCCTGTTGGCAAGTCAACACTAATGTGCTTCCTTTAAAACTTCATGAATCTCAGCATATGCTCTTTTACATATGTTAGATAATTTAAATGCATTTCTTACTCTTTCCACAGCATGTAGAGTCCATGAAGCACAGGACAATAAAGCTTCCTACTCATACCACCAGGAAGATCTCTTTGAAAGATTTACCACAAGACTACCAGAGAGAATAATTTGTCTGAAGCATCATGTATTGAAACACAACACCTTTTCAATTTGAAGGCTACCACCTTTGCACTAGTTAGAAGCAGAATCACCATGTCTTCAATTCCTTGAGCTCTCTAGGAAGCCAGGCGAGTGAGTGGAAAATCTGAAAATGCGGCCATGGACTGGTTCCTGGCGTTGGATTATGCTCATTCTCTTTGCCTGGGGGACCTTGCTGTTTTATATAGGTGGTCACTTGGTACGAGATAATGACCACCCTGATCATTCTAGCCGAGAACTGTCCAAGATTCTGGCAAAGCTTGAACGCTTAAAACAGCAGAATGAAGACTTGAGGCGAATGGCTGAATCTCTTCGGTAAGTTATAAAAATTTGTACAAGTGATGAAATATTGTACATAGTTTTTAGGTGTAGGGCTTATTTACCTATTGAAAAATTTTTATAAATTGCTAGGGTTTTGCAATAATTTAATTATCTCAGTAGGATGGGAATTCTGGAGGTGTAGTTCCTAAGGCATTTGACTGCTAACCAGAAGGCTGGCAGTTCAAACCCACCAGCCACTCCTTGGAAAGAAGACTGGGCAGTCTACTTGCTTAGAGATACTGCCTCAGAAACCCAAGCAGGCGTCGCTATGAGTCAGATTCGACTTGATGGCTGTGCGTTTTTTTTTTTTTTTCCCCCCCCAGTAGGATACTTTTATATCAATGGTATATCTTTATATATTTAGCATACAGAATTTCTCCATAGTGGTAAATCTTATTTTGTATGTGAATTTGAATATAGAAGAACTATTAAGTTTTTGTACTTATATTTCATTTATATTTATCTTCAGCATTTTGACAGTTTTGATACATTCAGTCCAAATGTTTTATTATTTAAATTAGTGAATATAGTAAAGATAGTGTAATAATTGAGAAGCTGAGTTAGTCTAACTATAATTTAGTAAAATGAGGAATCAAATAATCGTCCTTAAATAAAATAAATAAATAAACTGGATCTGGGATTGGGAGAATTATTATCATTGCTGCTTCTAGGTCTATAAGAAAAGTATGACCCACATCTCTTAGAAGACATCAGCTTTGGAAAACCAAAAGTCTTGTTTTCGTAGCAAACAGGTGTAGTATTACATGGATGATCTTCCCCTTTACCAAAGGTATTGAGTTTGAAAGTTACCTAGTTTGCTAAACCAAACCAAAGCTGTTCAGACAGCTTGTTTGTACGAACAGCTGTACAAACATTTAGTTCTTAGTGGGTTCTTCTGTGAAAAATTCAGTGCCTATCAAAAGTTAATTCTTCTGTTGCTTATTAAACTATATATTATATACAGGTTCCACTTTGCTTTTCTACTAGAGTATACCCTATTCATTTTTGTATTTTCATTTACCATGTAGTACGATACCTAACATACAGTAGTAGAACTTGTTGCTGTCAAGTCAACCATGACTAATAGCCACCCTATAGGACAGAGTAGAACTGTCCCATAGGGTTTCCAAGGCTGTAATCTTTACAGAACTGGACTGCCATATTTTTTTCCCACAGAATGGCTGGTGAGTTCATCTGCCAAACCTTTCAGTTAGCAGCCATGCACTTTAACCACTATACCACCAGGGCTTCTTTGTACAGTAGTGAAGTACTCAGAAAATACTTGGTGAATTAATTAATTGCTCACTATTTGAAAAAGTCTTTCCCTTTTTTAAAATGAATCTCAGTGTAAAGCAAATAGTTTTTCTAATTCCTCTAATTTATGTATGAAGGGGATCATGTGTTTGCTCTCTCTCAATATTGAGATTAAGGCTAGAGTTGAAAATTGCAATTCATTATTCTAGAGGGGATAATTGACCCTATGGGAGATGGTAGAGGAAAAGGGCTGAAAATTGTTTTCTTCTCGAGAAACAAATAAGTTCAGGAGTGGAAACTGAACATTTAGTTTTGTGCAAGAAAAGCCTTTTGAGTGGGTGGGGAGAGAGCTCTATTGTAGAAGCTAAGGAACACTTTGTGAATGAAGAAGATAATTTTCAGTGTCTGTGTTAGGCTGGGTTCTCTAGACAAGCAAAACTAGTAAAGGTTATAGAGAGAGAGAGAGAGAAATTTATCTTAGGAAAATGGCAGGTCCAAGTTCTTGGATCAGTTGTCAAGGTGGAGGCTTTTCCTGACTCATGCAGCTGCAGGGGCTGACTAGCTTAAGGTTGGCAGGCAGTAGTATATTGGCTGTTGGCTGCAATGAATGACGAATCCAAGATCACCAGGCTGAATAGTAGATTGTTCGCTCACAGACAGTTGTAGGCAGCATAACAGGATCCAGATCCACAGAAGTTTGTCTCATTATCCCAAGATGTCCATAAATATATTGGAAGTAGGCCACACCCCCAGGGAAACTAATTTTCAGTGAATTGCCTGTTCAAAACATATACATCTGATACCATCATGGGAATAACCCACATCACAACTGCTTACACCACACAGAGTTGTCGTCCAGCCAAGTTGACACACAACCCCAACTATCACAATCTACCCCATGTCAACTTGGCAGTTTACGCATCTTGTTAACCATATATAATCTCTAAATAAGGACAATTATAAAGTCATATTTGCACCTAACAGGATATACTAACATGCGTACGACGGAGACTCATTAACCTTGTTTATGTTTCACAGTTCATAACAGAGAATAACAAAAACAAAAACTCTCTGCCATGGAGTTGGATCCAGCTCATAGCAACCCCTCCTTGGGTTTCTGAAATAGATTTCCCAGTCATCCTTCAAAGAAACAAAAATATTTGATGCACATATATGATGAAGAAATATAACAATCACAGTCCTCGTTTCTGCAACTGCTCATGTGGTCGTGGCTGATATTCAGAACTACCTTCTTTGGCCACCCATTTCCTATTTCCCTTGCCCTCAGCAAGCAACTCAGCTGATTTGTGTTCCTTTGCCTGGTGGAGTAACCCAAACCTTCATTCCTGAAGGATCTGGGCCATTAGTAGTCATACCAGAATTGGGTTGCTGTAATTTTCCGTTGAGTTTAATCACAGGGCATGGTAGTACTAAAAGATACCCTAAGGAATCTGCTGTATTCCAGACATACTCTTCTTTACCTCCATTATGTAATGTCAATCCAATTTCCCCTTGGTAATCAGGATCTGTCACACCAGATAGTACAGTAACACCCTTCTTTGTCTGTTGATCCAGAGGCATGAGGAAGCCTAAATGGCCAGGTGGCATTCTTAACTTCCAGTTCAATGCAATCAGTACTGTGTCTCCAG